TATTGTATTATTCCCTTCCAGTAATCCTGTATTTCGGGCAATCCCACCATATATATGTCATTGTCCCCTTTTCCCCACAACCTCTCCAACACAAAGGTAAAACCTCTACTTGTTTTTTTGTGCCATACTCGGTGTAATATACCATCTTGCCATACATTTGTAGTTCATTTCAACTGTGCTCATATTAATCACCTCATGTGTTGAATTAAATATTTTCTTCCTTTGTTGCTTATTTGGGCGCGATTGCACATTTGTGCGCATGCGCACATCTGGTAACTCTTCTCCGTTCCATTTTTCCCAGAACTGGGGAAGATCAGCTCCTTCCATATCCATAAGGATCTTATAAATTTTAGAGGTGGATTGTTTTGGGCCTGTAATCACATTTAGCAATTTTTCAAATGGATACAGATCCTCAGACATCCTCAATGGTTGTGGAAGCATTGAAACAAAATTAACTAATTGACCATACTCCTCTAATGTAAAAAAATAAATCTTTTTTCTTCTTTAAATCTTGAAAAGTGTGCAATTTTGCTGTATTAAATATATCCCGCAAATGTGGATTTTTATCTTTAATCCATTTCCCTGAGATATTATCCTTATCTTTTCCCACCAAGGGTGTCAATAATGAATTATATTTCCATCCTTTTTGCTTAAATATTCTATCCCAAACGCTTAAAACTTTATTTGTCAATGGACTAATATTCACATCCAATGTGCCAAATTTATGTGGAATCCAAACAATCTTCTCTAACTGTGCCTTAACTAAAATCTCTTCCATATTAACCCAACCTTTCCTATATGAATTAAATATCCAGTCTACTATTCGTGATAATAACACCGCTAGATGGTATTTCCTAACATTAGGCAAACCCAAACCCCCCTTCCCTTTTGCCCTACATGATACCTCATACCTAATTCTTGGTTTTTTATTAGTCCATATAAACCTGAGTATCATCTTCTTTATTATCCCAGAGAAAGACCCTGGTAAGTGTATTGGGAGCATGTGAAACTTATAAAAGATTTTTGGTACTATTGCCAGATTTATACGACCGATCCAGGAGGCTCTTTCCTTTAAAAGTCTCTTTAATGCATCCTTTATTTAATTTATTAATGGTATATAATATGCTTGGTATAGGCCTTTTATTGAAGGAGTTAGTTTTATTCTCAGGTAGCCTATCTCCTGTTCCCCTCCAGGTAAATGGAAAATCTTTTTTGTAAACTTAGCTTCTCTAAGTTTAATATATTGATATTTAGGATCTCTTTGCAGGATTTATTTTCAGATTTGATAGCTCATCATACTGTTTTAATAGTCGCAGTAAATTGGGCAACTTTATTCTAAGATTTACAATATAGAACAACATATCAAATGTTTATGCTGCCACCTTATGCTTCACTTCCCCTATCTTTATTCCTGCAATATATACACATTTTTCTTACCCTCGCCAGGACAGGTTCCAGGGATAGTATAAACAACAAAAGAGAAAGTGGCAAACTTGTCTAGTATCATTGTGCATTTTAAAAAACAGAGAGGGATCCACTGACCTTAACCACCACTGATGGACCGTTTATACAACCCTTTTATCCACCTTAATATTTTGGTCCCTAATCCTAAGGCCTCTAGCGTTTCAAACATAAATCCCCAGTTGACCCTGTCAAAAGCCTTTTCGGCATCGATCGACAGAAATATTGTCGGCAGACTCTCTTTGCCTTTTGTAAGAGGAGCAATGGTCTCAGGCTAATGTCCCTCCCTTCTCTTCCAAGAATGAATCCTACCTGATCCAGATGTATCCACTGCGGCATCAGCTCCTTCAATCTAGTTGCCAGTACCTTAGCGTACAGTTTAGTGTCAGTATTTAATAAGGATATGGGCCTATAGCTGGCACACTGAGAGCTATCCTTCCCTTTCTTAAGTATGATCGTTATATAGGCTTGCAATGACTCTTTCCTCATTTCCAGCCCCTCCCCTCCTGCATTCATATAACCAGACATTTTAGGGACAATGAGATCTCTACATTTTTTTATAGTATACCAGAGTATATCCATCCGGGCCAGGACTTTTTCCCACAGCCGTTTTCTTCAAGGCCAAGGTGATTTCCTCCGGGGTAATAATTTTTCTCTAGGGCCTCTAATTTTTCTTCTGCTATTCTTGGTAACCCCACCCCCTTTAAATATTTCTCCCTGATTTTCTTCTTTCATCTTCTGTTTCTTTTTCATTTCTGGGGCTCACTTCATACAGTCTAGTATAATATTTTTGAAACCTGTTTGCAATATCAGTGGTAGAATATACAATTTCTCCTTTTCCGTCTTTATTTTTTTTTCTTTTAAAAGTTTTAGATTTCTTTTCATTTAATCTCCTCATTAAATACTTTCCAGGTCTGTTCCCCAACTGATATCTTTCGTTTGAGACCCTATTGAGTATCCTTCTCGACTCATGTTCCATAAGCTCTTTTAGTTCTCTTTTGAAAATTATCTGATAAACATCTGTACCTATCTTCTTTTTATGCACCTGTTCTAACTTATGGAGCTCCTCAATCATTATAATTGCACTGTTTGCCCTTATGTTCTAAAATGCTTTGTAAACTGTTGGCGCTATATTATTAATCATTTTTTGTTCACTCTTTTTTTTATTGGGTTTTAGAAAATGGGAGTATAAATAAATAACAATTTTACAAATTGTAGTGTAATGTGCTGGAAAAATGTGTGCATTTTATTAATTTGTCCCTGTAAGGTACATATACTAACTTGTGTTAAAACAATATTCACTTAGCAAGAAATACTCAATCACATGCAAAGACAAGAAAAGAAAAAAATATTTTTGTTTGCATATAATTGGATGATGCAAGTCAGCCGAGCTCTTATTGACTAAGGCTTCACCTTAGTCACTAAGCTAAGCAAAACATTTTCCTTGCAAAATTAACAGCCTATTTGCCTTCAGTAAATCCACCACCATGTCTTTATAGTTACTATATTGTGCCTTCCTGTGCAGTACAATTTTCCCTGAAGTCAAAGTTTATAATATAAAGGGATTTGTATATTTACAGGTGTTAAGGCAGGTTGGGGTATGCAGTTTCTTTGTGTTAGCATGGGTTTCTAGGACATGTTTTAATTGGAATCAGGAGTCTCTGAAGTTAACCTCCCTGGCGGTATGATCATGTCAGGAATTTTGTGCTGAAAGCGGTACCATTTTTTTGCATGGAAATATGTAGTTTTTAATTGTAGGCTGTAATTTTTAGGAATAACTCACTGAAATCTATCCGAAAAAGAGTCTATTAAACATTCCGGATATGATAAAACTTGAAACACGAAATCATAAATTATAATTTATTAAATAATCATAAAAAATAATAATATAATAATAAATTTAATTCAATAATATAATCAAACCAAAAACACTGAAATTTGAAATACAGAGGCAAATTCGCACATCGCTGAGCAAAGTCGCAAAATCGTTTTCAGTGTCTGATGACGAATTTCCCTACAAATCATTATCACTCAATTCTGCAAGTGGTTCTGATTTACTATCGCTATTCTAAAACCGCTTTTGATGTAAAGGGATGCTTTTTGGCCGCCATGGACTTTTCTAGGTTTCCAGGCTGAAAGAACAGTCAAAATGCAGGCAGGGCACAGGACAAAGCAGTGGGGACAAAATGTATGTGAAATGCAGTGAAAAAGCAATGACAGCAAAAATGTCATTTTTTAAAAATTTCAAATTTCCCGCCGGTTCCGCCGCCTGAACGTTCCGACGTCACGGGGACCGGAACACGGAAGCCAGATGCCGGCATCCGCCGGAGGAGATGGACGGGGACGCTGCAGGGGACCCATCGTGGGAGCGAAGGACAAGGTAAGTGCTGCAGGGACCCCCAGAGAACGCTGCATGGTAAGCCCGAGTGTAGCTCGGGGTTACCGTTCTTGGTATAGAAATTCTACCCCGAGCTACACTCGGGAACACCGCCAAGGAGGTTAACTACTATGGAATATGTGCTGTCATGATTCCTTCTTGCATGTTTCACCAAATGCAGTTGTTGATTTGTTTACTGACCACATTTGTTTTGTAATCTTCTTTTGTGAGTGATGTCAGAAGGAAGGATCCATAAGCCACTCATCAAAGGCCCATGTGCATGAGGTGAGATGAATGGCCGCCTCAGCCCGGACTCCAGCCAGTCCATGCTTCCAACACATTTCACTCCGCACCTTGGAGCTTAATTATGATTAAGCTCCAAAAGGCAAAGTGAAGAACTTTAGGGGCATGGCCTGGCGTGAGTCCAAGCTGAGGCTGCCATTTATCTCACCTCATGCACATGAGTCTGCCTTTGATGTGCGGCTTAAGGAAGTTTTCTGCTGAAATTGCTGCAGCTTGGAGCTAGGACGAGTTCCCTATCCCTGCCAGCACTCTTTTTTGACTTCACCTCTCTACCTAATTTTTGTCTTTTTGGGTCACATCTTTGTGAGTGGTTTCACTTTTTAGGGTTATGTAGTAAATGTCAGAGAGGGGTGATATTAGACAAGTTGGCTTTCGCCCATGCTTCCTTGGTTATTGCAGTCTTAGCAGAAAACTGTGAGCTGGGGGTGGGGTCTAGGGGGTTTTTTCATATAAGTGTCCACTGTAAATGCAGAGGGCAGAGACTTATTGGCATTTTCATGGTTCTTAAGCCCTTCCCATGCCAGTCAGCCCAGGACATGTGCCCTCTTGAATCCTTTCTCCCAACTCTGGCAGAGTGAAAACCTCTGCAGCTTCTGAGATATCACAAGGCATAGAGAAAGATAAATAAGTCACTGTAAAATGCATATAGTGGGGGATGGATACTTGTTAATGATTAACAGGGGAGAGATTTTTATAAAAAAAAATTTAAATATTCGATCTTTGTACAATTGTACATGTCATATTTTACAATTTTTTATTTTTAGACTTGGGGCCAGTTTTAGCGAGGAAGATTTTACGCTATTATGGCTGCACATCTTCAGATTTGACTTCTTTAGATGACCTACTTGATAAAAGTGATGATTCATACCCTCAGGATGGTTTTGAAGATGTATTTGCGTGCAGCGATGACCTAGACAGCGAAGGTAATGTACTAGAAAGTGTTTTAACCTCCTTTTTATTTTCCTCTCATGATTTGGTGAAGGATGCTTTGTTTGCATTATTATAATTAAGCATTCATTTTTTTTTTTTTTCTTTATATTCTTATTTGTACAGTGTAGGGGCAGACTCTTTAAACATTATGACTGTTTTATAGGCAGTTATCTTCAGGTAATAGTACACTAACAAAAAATAAGATTGCAGGGAGTTTACATTTTATAATCCCTTCCACTCTCAGATAGGCTGAGCTTTTCTTGCTAGTATCTTTAGGTGATGGACCTCTACTGTACTAGGAGACACTTTACCTTCTATGGTGGCTTCTCTCTCATTTTCTTCCTGAATTATAATGTTCCAATAAGCTTCCCTTCACTTTCTGGACGTGGTTTGTGCTGAGAGTTTATTTATCCACTTCCTCTTTTAGGAAATTGGATTCCCTCTGTGCTTCCTGAACTTTCCTGCAGTGGTCTCTAAGCTTCTCACTCCAACACTGCTAGGATTTCTCTTTCCCTGTTAAGGCACATTTTACCAGATGTTTTAGTGTTTTATAGGCTTCTCAGCATCCGGTATCTCTTCTTGAGTGTGCAAAGCTACCACCTGCATTTCTGTTTACATTTAAATTCTACCAGGTGGACATTCAGGCCATTAAGATACCAGTTTTGGGCTTAAGGTGCTAACTGCTCTAGGAGTCTGCTGAGCATGCTTGACTTTCTTTTTTGGGGGGGGGGGGGGGGGGGGGGGGGGGGGGGGGGGGGGGGGGGGGCTTTTGGCAATGTTTACTGAAGCTAGCTGTGAGTGAGAGGGATTATACAGGGGGATATTCCTGCACCATTCGTTTGTCCAGTCACCTGATGGTAGCTACATATAACCCAGTTATTGTGTTTAACCTCTTGCCATCCAGCAGGAGAGTGTATATATCCGGCCACCTGTTCCTGCAGCTTTTGCTTGCTTTGGATACAGCAGATCACATATTGGAGTATGGGGACTAACTCCATATGTAAACAAAGGCTGCATGCTGCAGGCAGTGTTCGTTTCCTATCACAGCAATCAGATGTGATTTTTTTTTTTTTTTTTTTTTTTTTTTGGTTTTGTTTTCACCATGATCATCAGCTATCCCAGTTTAGTGTTACTATGGTTACACTGTACTGGCATTGTTCGTGGTCAGGGACAATGGCTGGCTGCTGTGGTGACACTGTGTGCAAGTGAATCCAGCTAGTCTACCTGATCACTAGCTACACAGTGCAGTGCCACCATACCAGTATAGCCAGCCACAATGTCCTTGATCCCACAGTAGTACAGTGTCACTATACCATTGCAGTCAGCCACAGTGTCCCTGATTGACATAAAATAATAAAGGATGGGTGGTCAAGACTCAATTTATAATGGAGTGTTTAGATGTGAAGCTTGACTTAGTTCAGCCTTCCTATTTTTGAGTTAGGGAGATGGAGGGGGTTAGATTGCCTTAGAAGGGAATGAACGAGTGTCAGATGGGGCTTGCGTCATCCAAAATTGATCATAAAAGTGTGGGGAGGACTGTGGTATGCATTCTGAGTAGCAATAGATTGCAGGTAGTGGCCAAGTTAGGAAATCCTTCAGGGATATTGATCTTGGTAGGACCTCTTGTGTAGGTGTTTGAGTGCGTGGAATGCTCCTACAGAAGAAAATGTAGTAGGCTCGTAAACACACTCTTCATGCAAAGGCATTTGAAGTAGGGACTTTGTATTCCTGGCTGGAATGCCATTGAGCTCAACACAGGCGTGAGTGGAGACAGCTTAAAGATATCTCAAAGCCCCAAAAGATAGAATGGACTATTTTCAGGGCAGTGTTGAGGGGGGTAGACTTTAATTTGGAGGGTTAGCAGTGGTTGTGTCATCACAGGAGGCCAGAGTGGGGTAGGGTTAAAGATTTGTTCAAAATAGTTTAGATTAGAATGATTGCACCAGTTGGGGAGTTGTTTCAAGTGTGGCACATAGAATCTGATAGTGTCCAGAATCTAAGACCACTCTTGTGTTTAGACAGTTTAAGCACTGATCCAAGTCTAGCTTTTTCCCTCCCCAGATGAAATTGAGAGGTTTATAGCACAGTTTGGTAAGAAGTCAGAGCGAAGGCAAATTGGTAAGGTCTGCAGCAAATAAAACTGACAGGGTATCATGTTCATTTTAAAGTGGTTCAAAAGGGTTATTTTTAACCAATATAACAAACATATTAAAAAATATATTTAGTGCCCTGTTCCTTTAAATATAAATATACAAGTGCCAAATGTTACAGTGAAACTGATCAGTACAATGTGCAACAAATAATATATAAATTCATATACATACCTGTATGAAAATAAATAAAAAAAATAAGATGGTGAAGAAAGTGCTCCATGCTGCAATATATCAAATAAAGTGCTTCGGTGATCAGGTGCTCTTCAAAAGAAACAAGCAAGCCCCAAACTATAGAGATCCAAACAGCATATATATCATGACACCAGGCTGGCACTCTCACAATGAAACCATCGCTGGAAAAAGCCTGACTGCATCCAACAAATTGATATGCGGTCCCACCAAGAAATCAATCTGGTATTAAATGCCACTCATCGCAGTAGGAAGGATTGAACAAGAGAAACCCCATGGTGCGGTATGTTAAAACCAGCTTTTTTATTAAAAAGTATTACACTTACAAACAGGTGAGTAAAATATGCAGTAACTGATTCAATGTATTCACCCGGCCATGGACTCAGTACGCACGCCGCTGTGTAATGGCGTCACACAAGAACTCCGCCTGACGTGTTTCCCCAAAAATGGCGTCCTCTGGGATTGGAAATGTATTAGTTGCAGCAGCTCACTTTTTCACATCTGATTGGTTGGGTGAAGCGCAACATATTTTCTTTTGTTAACAAACATATTGTACTTACATGCGCTGTGCAATGGTGTTGCACACAGTGGCCCAATCCCTCCTCATCTGGGGTCGCCCACCGGGACTGTCTACTCCTCTTTTTCTCTGTCCGTTTGCCCTAAAAAAAAAAGTTGCTTGCTATGGGTGCAGACATGCAGGCTCAATCCTGAGCCGGGCTGTGTGCTATTGACATACACTGTGCGGTTCTTCCCTGTCCCCTGCTCCCTCCCAGCAGGATTTGATTGATAACAGCTGGAGCCAATGGCTATCACTGCTGCCTGTCAGTCCGTGTGTGAAGAGGGAGAAAAGTAGCATAGCACTGGATTGATTCAGAAGTGAGGTAAATGTTTAGAGGGGAAGAGAAGCACAGCAAGTCCTAAAACATTTTTTATCCTATTACAGGTAATGTTTTTAAGGTAAAACGTTTTAGCTTCAGAACCAGTCCTAAAGTATGTTGTTGTGGCATATTTATTCCATCTGGTGAGGTGTTTAGTGATCGTTTGATTTTGTAGAAAAAGGTTAAAGGTGAGGACCCTGTCCAAGTTGTCTGGTATGGAAGATCGCAGATTATTGTATATGAAATGAAGCCCATTTAAATGGGCAGTTATCTTTTAAGGTGTTTACTAGTGAAGAGAAGTGAAAATTCCCAGGGCTCCTGACTTGCTGTAATGAATTTTGAGGCTCAATGGATAGCCAGATTGCTTAAAGGATAAGTTCACCTTTGGGAACATGTTACATGTTCCACTCATTTTTAGGGTGGAACATGTATCATGTTCCCATAGCTGCAGCTGTGCCTGCTGCCCCCCCTCACAGTGACAGATAATACGGTAAGAAGTTTCCCCATACTATCTGCAAAATTTGAAAACAGCGCGTCCGTGCGGGGATTCTCCCACATGGCCACGTCATTCATTCACGGACGTCCATGAATGAATGAACTGCAAGTCCCAACAGCGTTAGTGGCTGTGGGCTTTTGGTTTTCAGTGAACTACCACGGCGCTGTGGAGCGCTGTGGTAGTTCATTAAAGCTTCCTGTCAGAATATTTGCTTGCATGTACACCCCGTACGGCAAGCAGATATTCTGACATTTCTGCAGGAGACCTGCATGGCGACAGCAATCTACTGATTGCTGGTGTAGTACTTTCCAGGCTCCTTTTGGATAATAAATGCACATTTTTTTTACCTGCCAAAAAATGTGCGTTTATTTTTGTCCAAAAGGTGAACTTATCCTTTAAATTTAAAAGCAGAGTGAGGATGAAGCTCTTTTTTTGTGTAAGAAAAGGTTTAAGGTGTCAGTAAACCCAAAAACATTATAACCTCCTTTCTAGTAAATTAGTGTAACTATATGTGCCATTTTATTTCCAAAATGTTTCAAATTTGAAAAAAATACCTCTTGATCTTGCTCATTATTGGGACCTACTTGCTACTGATGGCAACAGTGTGTAGGCTAACTTATACAGCATTGCCACCATGGTGTGCATGATCTTACATCCATAAAAAAAAAAGCTGTTCGCTTTTACAGAATTCTCTGTTCTGTTGTACTCCAAGCAATTCAGATCACCAGCATGCTATCATTTCTGTAGTGGTTCTAACTGAGAGCAGTTTCTCCACTGACAATACTATCCCACACAGAGAGAACTCCCCCCTATAGCCAGTAATGAGCTGGGCCATCCAGAATGATCCTTCACTCATTAAAGACTTTGGAAAGCTCAGCGTAAGTGAGAGTAGTAGCGTGACATCCCCTGCACACACAGCATCAAGGTATAGAATTTTGTGTATTAGCTCAATATTGTGTTACAGTTGCCAGAGAGGAAGCAGCAGCACATGGGGCAATCCTACCAGGTGTTGTATGAGATTGAGAATAAGAATGGTTCCAAAATGGTCTCATTTGCCGCTACTTCGTCTGACGGGTGTGAGCCTTAATAGGAAGATGACCTTCCAGGGTGGAATAGTATAGATATACGTGGCATGTGAACAGAGATCATGTTCTCAGCATAACCACTTGCTGTGCTTTATAGGGTCGAAACCCTCAGAACGCCATGGGAGGCATGTAGGAGATGTTAAAAGTCCACAGTGGAAACCTGTGCACTGTTTCAAAGGATGCAGGTAGGCC